CCTGCGGTTAGCGGTAATCTAGCGTCTAGAAAGCGATCGTTCACCGTTCGAGTACCGTTCGTATGTTTCGTCTGTTTCGTTATACAGTATTATTCTTTGAGAGGGTCCAGGATTTTGACTGTTCGTAACTGATGAGAAACTACACTACTTGACTAATTGATATGATAATCTCATTTCAAATACCATACCGTTATGTTAAGGTCATATATCTTCTTAATATACAAGTAATTGCATGATAGACAAACACAATTTTAACATCACGATAGACATTACAAATCACCAATAATTGCAATATGATATGTGTCATTATGATACTAAGGTTAAAACATTCCAATATGGAGTTTCTCCTTTTGTTTCAATTATATAAGACGGGTTATTTATTTGAAAACAAGATAAATTTGGACATTATGTCATCAAGGTGTTACATTATTTTCTTAATAGGTACAAATTATTACGACAATTTTGGCATAATCTACTCAGCTTTTGAAATAATATATATGTCTTGTTGAATAAAAAATGTGTTTTATCTGAGACATATATTAGCTTTTCTGTTTTCCCGATGATGTTCATTTCTATTTATTTCTTGTTTACCCCTTGGTCTGGTTGGATCTACAAATAGAACGTAAGTCATAGTTTTGTTTTAATCATCAATCTTTGCTTCCTCCACATATACACAACTCGTTTAATTATTTGAGAATCTCATTTCTAATATCATACCCATTTAGGTAATGTCATATATCTTCTAAGTATACAAGTAATTACGTGTCAGACAACAACAATTTAAACATCATGATAGACATTACAAATTCACTTACAATTGGATTTTGACATGTGTCATTAAGATAATCAGTTACAACATTCTAAGATGTAGTTTTTATTCATTGGAAAACAAGATAGATTTGCACAATATATCATCAAGGTAAAACATGATTTCCTTAATGGTTAAACATGATGCGACAATTTTAGCATCATCTTCTCAGTTTGTACTATAATATCTATGTCTTGCTGAATACAAAATGTGCTTTATCCAATAAGTACTCACATGACAAACAATACCAACGCTGATTTCCTAAGGATGTTCATTTATTGGTATGTTTTGTTTACTCCTTCCTTGATCTGGCTGGATCTAACAACAGAAAGTAAGTATTAGTTTTGTATTAATCATCAATCATTGCTTCTGCCAACTATACACTACTCGTTTAATTAATTTGTTA